CCACCGTTAACCGGTCACAGACCATCCACAACACTTTCCATCTCACTCCCTCCCTCCCTCCCTCTCCCCTTCCCACCTCACCACTTTTCCCCTTTGTCGACCTCACCGGAACGACTCTCGCCCCCCATTCCCCTCTCCCCCTTCGACCCCTTTCGACGTTTCCAGCCCGGGTGCTGTGCACTGTAAGCTTAGTTAGCATCACGCCCCACCACTTTCTTCCATCGCGCGCCAACACTTCACCTCTTCTCTCATCGCTTCCCACATCCCTCCCCTCTTCTGTGCGCACGCTTGCACATCAGTCACCTTCCTCCGACTATCACTCCTACCCTCCTACATTTCCCCCAGCGACTCGCTTCGGTGCGCATCTCCACCGGCAAAGTCCCGAGTTACCCTCTTCGACCAAGCCAATCAGCCATACGCACGGGGCTTCTCTCCTCCTCTCACCAGAGCAGAGCCTTCAGCCGAGTGTGTGTACCTGCACGCCCGCATCGACGGAACTGGCAACAGAAAGAGGAAGAGCTTGGCGCACGCCGCCTTTCCGCTGTCCTGCTGTCCCCGCTGCTCCGCTCATTGTCCTTGATCACGTTTGTCTCAAGCTCACGCGCCGCAGCTTCTTCGCTCTCTCTTCTTCACCTCTCGCTACTTCTTTCTTCCCCTTCCCGTTCGGACACGTCTCGCACTCGCTCCTGCATCGCCAGACTTTCGTCGTTGGATTCAGCCGAGCACAACTGTCCGCGCCTCAGCTTTCGAACCACGAACCCCGTCCGCTGCTGCCGATCCGATCGTCGAGCACCAACAGCTCCTGTGCGACTCGTCCAGCGGCCAAATACCTCAACGCCAGGAACGCCCGCGCACAGCTACTACAACTGGTCAGGTGTCCGAGCTCGACATTGACCTCCGAAGGCGGTCCAAGTGTCGCTAGAACGGCGAACAGTTCTCCCCTTTGTCACTCGCAGCCTTTCTCTCTGGATCGTGGTAGCGGAGCCCGTCGACCTGTTCGAATCGTCTCCACCAGAAGCAAAGAAGAGAGCACTACTGCGCATTTCAGCCTGAGGGTCGCGCGCGTCTGCCGGTCCCGTCTGTCAATCGGCTAGCGATTTCTCCAAAACGCGTGCGCAACGTCCACACCCGCCCCGTCCGCGCGCGCCCACGCCTCCCTTTCACCGCCCCCGTCCACTTGTCTCGCCGAGGCTGTTACCGATACGCTCTTCGCCAACCGCCAGTGAGCAGGAACACACGCATCGTCGACTCCCTCCGCCCTCTTGCAACATCCCCTCGACTGCATTCCCATCCACTCGCGACCACTCCGTTCCTGTGGATAACTGAAGAGGGCATACCCGGACCACTACCACCACCACAAAGCATTGCTTCACCCACTACCGACGAATCACCCCATCACCGCTCGACCCTATCACAAGTAACGGGCTACAGCAGGTCGTTCCTCGTTCGAGCCCCTCTAGACCGAGTGAGTATTCGCCCCGGAATCTGTAACTGTCACCCCGTTACCCCCCTTCTCTGCCCCAACTGGAACAACCGTTCCAGCTACCCGCACCTGGGCTTGAAACCCTGCTGGCTGGCTGGAATCGAATCACCTCCTCCATCGCACGCGCGACTGCTTTGCGGCGGCAACGCTGTTCCTTCGACAACTCCCACCCATTCTTTCCACCATCTCTTGTGCTGACCAGTTCCCTGCTTGAAGACGTCGCACATTCGTTCAATTCGCTCCTTTCCGCGTGCTATCCCCCAACACTTCCCTCTAGCAAAGCTTTCCATTTCAGCCCGTTCCCCCGCTGCGAGCATCCTACCCTCTTTCCTTTCTTTGTTCGTGTCCGTCCGTGCTTATCTCTTGAACCCTGTCTTGCAGTCCAGCTGACCCTCCTCAGCCTGCCGCCACAGCATGGCAGCTATGCTCATGCAGCCCCCCGCGCATCGTCCATCCATGGACCACGTCGGGTCGTTCGAGTCTTCACGGAGCGGTGCTCCCGCAGGCTACGAGCGCCATTCGCCCGCCCCAGGGCAATCGCGTCCCAACGCCTCGACCCCCAACCAGTCGACTCAGCAACCCGGTGTGGGCTTTGTCCAGCCTGCCATGGCGGGTGGATACTTTCCCAACAGCATGCCAGGCTTCCCCGTGCAAGGTGCATGGGGAGCGACCCCGTTACCCGCGTCCTCGTTCTACGCCCCGCCGTTCGCATTCCCGGCCGGGTTCCAGCAGCAGGGCTTCCAGCAGCCCCAGGACTTCTCCGCCTGGGCCCACGTGTACCAGCAGATGGTCGCGAACGGCCACATGGCGCCGCCCGGCGGACACAACATGCCGCGGCCCGCCCAGTTCCAAGACGCCGACGACTCTGACGCCCACCGACGACGGACCGTCTCGGGCACTTCCTCCAACGACCCACGAGTAACAAAGGGCCAGACCTCGACTGGCGCCGCCGGCACCGACCCCGTGTTCCACCCGTACAAGCGCGGGCCGAAGAGCCGAAGCGCCAGTGGCAACAGCCGTTCCGGATCCCAGTCTATCTCCCTTAGCGAGCTTCCCAAGCCCACCGCCCCGCCGCGAGGTCCTTCTCCCGGCGAGCACCGCCGATCCGGCAGTGTCGACTCGACGGCTCTTGTGAACGGTGAGCGCGAGGAAGAGTTAATGCCGCCGCCCAAGCTTCGCGCCAGCCGCGACGAGGGACGACCGGCATCGGTCAAGAGCGAGCGCAGCAACCGAAGCCAGGGCAGTGCAAACAGCGGTGCCTCGCAGAGCGGCCGTTCCGGAAAACAGGCGCAGGGTGCGTCCGAGCAGCGACCTCAACACGGTCGCACTGCTTCCTCCACCTCCCAGTCCAACAAGTCTACGCCCCTCACCACTGGAACAATCTCGTCACAGGCTAGCAACTCGCAACCTGCTGCCCAGGCCCGGAACTCGCCGCTGTCCCAGGCTCCTCAGACATCTGCGCCTATCCAGACGACTGAGAAGACGGAGAAGGCGGAGAAGAAGTCTGGCTTCAGAGGACGCTTTAAGAATGCGTCCGACAAGGACCAGAAGACTTCTGCCGCACCTGCTTCCAGAGCGCAGTCGCCCACGCCCGCCCGGTCACTTACTCCCGCTGCCACCGCCAAGGGTCAAGCCGGTCCCTCGTCTACCAAGCAGGACCTCGCGCCACCCAACGCTCCCTTTGTCAACGCTCAGGCCATGAGCAGTGACCTCAGCCTTGCCGAGACCGAAAGGACTGCCGCGACTAACGCATCCGTCAAGCCCAGGCGTGGCCTGTTCCGCAACCGCAACCGCTCCTCCGACAACATTTCGCTGTCGTCCACCGTCTCGTCTGCATCCATGATGATCCGCAAGATGGGCAGCCTCGGCAAGCTCGCGCGCCGCAATTCGCTCATGGGCATCTCCAAGATCTTCAAGGAGAAGCCAAAGGACGAGGACGGAGCCCTCCCGGAGAAGCAGGGCATCCTCAGCTTCAAGAAGAAGAGCGGCAAGAAGGCCGATCTCGCCCCCGTGTCGGTCAGCCGTACCACTGCTGAGCTCGACCGCGGATCCGAGGACGACGACCGCATCTTAGCTGGATTGTCGCCTGCCGCTCAGCTTGCTCGTCAGCACACTGCTCGCTCCAAGGCTGAGGCCGCGAAGAGGGAGGCTGCCAAGCGTGCCGAGACGATTCAGGAGCTCTCGGGCCCAACGGGCGAGCCCACCTGGGACCAGAACACGACGACGGCCCGTGGTCAGTTGACCGCCGTTACGAACGCGCAGGCGAACGGATCGAACGTTGTCCACGTCGTGCCTCGCTCGCCGACTGTTGTGCACGCTCTCGCGATCAACGGCGAGGAGGATGCAAGCGACATTTCAGACACGGACACGATCGACGACGTCACTGCTTCTCTCAACCGCAGCGGCATCCAGGACCCCGACGAGGAGGACTTCCAGCCGCTCTGGTGCAAGGCGCACATTGACAAGCACGCCAAGCCGAAGCGCGGTATCCTGAAGCAGATCCAGTCCAACGAGGAGCTCGAGGTGTCGAAGCGTCAGCGGACCGCGTCCTCGAGCGCTCTCGAAGCCACCGCGCCGGGTCCCATGTCTGACCTGCCTGCGCCCAACCCGGAGCGGATCGACGGTCTTGCTCACGCCAACCACGTCGCCAGCCCGGGCGAGATGGTTTACGACCCCCTATCGCCCACGTTCTCGCCGTTTGAGAACAATGGCCTTGACCTGGACCTCCGCCCGCCAGTCTACAAGAACCCGGCGCATAACACGTCTGCCCCGACGCTGTCGCCTGCTGGCCCCGCGGCGCCGACCCAGGCGCGTGCGATGACTGCGCCTACGCGCCGTCGCCTCGTCTGGGCGCCCGAGTGCGCCGTGTACAGCACGTACGACGCGATGACCTATGACCGGCGGTCTGAGCCTGCGACGTGCAACCGCCTCACGCCCGAGTTGGCCATGTCTATCAAACAGGAGCTCAACGCGTTCAAACTCGAGATGCCTGTCCACCCGTCCTCGAGGGTCTACACACACTACTTTGCATGATTTCCCCCCAGAATCCACTCGCAACTCGCACGACACTCCATGTCTCCTGTACACCCCCCAACAACCAACCCCAACCCCGCACCACAGCATTAGCCATACCAGGCTCACGTTTATCTTTACGAACACGGGCACAACGAGCTCAACAATAGCATCATCAGCAATTCCGGCACGCACTTCAATCATGCCATTGCGCGGCAATGGCCAAATTGTCCTGTTACCTGCATTTCCCACCACCCGGCTCCATCCACCCTCCCCCTACCTCTCGCTCGAGACGGTTGTGTACTATTTTTGTCCTCTCCCTGCTTTCCTATTCTCTGTCTCTCCGTCTCTCTGTCCCATAGAACACAGCTAGCTAGCCTCCCCCGAACGCTATCCCCGTCTCGTCGTTCGGCACCTAGCGTCTTCCAAGTCTTCGCTTTTGATCGTGGTCTTCTCCGTCTCGTCCCCGGCTCGCTTTACAACTATACTACAACTGTCATCATTTTTCTCCCTTTTTCTTTCGTCACACGCAAACTGAACGGCTGGACCTTGCGTTGAAACTTGAGAACCAAGAAATACTACCCCCCCTTTTTCGTGAAGAACAAAACATGCATCAGAATGTAGAATTGTCCGCGTCACGCACCGCCGACAGCGCCGACAGGCGCGGAGGCACCGACTCAAGTTCCAAAGCCGATGAGCAGCAGAGTGCAAGAAAGTCTGCGAGTTACAGCGACGGATATGTCGGGAAGACAGTATCGGAACCGACGTGTGAGGGTCCTTCTTCCTCGACGTGTCAGCATCCAAAATGCCAAGCAGGATAGGAAGCAGGACGAGGATGAGACACAAAAAGTCCCAAACGTATCCTCCGGCAACGACAAAGTGGGAACGAACCCAAATGTTGTGCCGGCGTGCAGAGCTCATCGAAACCTTAGTTCTGAGACCTGCCGACATGTACGCGACATGTACGAGGGGGACTGGAGGGTGGGAGCGTGGCAGCGCGGCAGTTATGGTCTTGGCAGTCTGGCAGTCTGAAAGATGGATAAGGGACAAGCGAGGGGATTGCCCCGGGGGGTGGTAGAATTGTTTGAACCCCGTGAACCCCGTGAGCCCCGTGAGCCCCGGGATCCCCGCTGGCTGCTGGCATGCTGGCATGCTGGCATGCTGGCATGCTGGCATGCTGGCATGCTGGAGTGTCATCGTCAGCCAAACACCAACACCAACCTCGACGCGTCTCAACTGCCTAGAGTACGCGTCAGACTCGGCGCGAGCGGACATGACCCCAGGACACGGAGATGAGAACTCCGAGCAGAGTTAATAGAAAAGGAGCGGTATGCAAACAGCCGTCGAGGAATGGGATCCAATCCGACTCGATGATACTAGAGTGGGCCGGTGTACGTCGGATGGTCCTGTGGCAGAAGAAAGGAGAGGGCTGAGGAGGTGGGACACGAGACGGCGAGATGTGATACGCCCCCGCATGCCCTGTTAGGACCTGCTGGCTGCCTCAGACGCGTCGCAGGAACGTCGCAAGCATGTCTGGAGAGACCGGAGAGAGCGGGCGCGGTATGAAACCGACCTTGACCAACCCGAACACTGTTCGGCTAGTGTGTTTCCGACTCTGGTATCGCTCTGGTGTTTGGTGGTTTTTGACAGTTTCGGATCGAGGAGCGCAGGTGCAAGTCTGCGGAGGAGACTTTCTGCCTCATACCTTGTGCAGAGCTGCAGGGAGGGAGGAAACCCGTTCCGAGCGCTCCGAGGCGGAGAGAAAGACGCTGCCACGACGCCGTGCTATGCAGCACGTACACACTCCGACGCGCTGTGCTAATGCTCTGTAAGCGCTGCAATACGTAGAATGAATACGGACCTGGCCTGTTTGCGACGTCGCCGTACGTGCAGTGCTCACAGCCTGCGACAGGCAGCCCCGTGCTGAATGCAGAAGCGGACCCTGCCAGGGCCCAAGAAATCCGGAGTACGACGACCATGCTGGGTCCTCGGCCACCATTCTCCTCCTTTCTGCAATGTGCCAGTCCTCGCCTTCTTCACCTCCTTGGCCGCTCCAACTCCGCTCCAGTCTGCGGTCCTACTGGACTTTGCAGGACGAGACTGCAGAGAAAGAGAAGAGGCTGACATGATGACAGAGTAGAGCGCCCAAATGTACCGGAACGAAGGGCAGCCTATCAACAACGGGGTGGTCAGTCACCTCGCAGGGAAGAGGCCGAAGCTTGCCATTCAGTACGCGCTTTCACTCCCGGCGCGTCCGGCACGCTTATGATTACACGAACATGCACGAACGCGCAGATACAGGATACACTGGGCTGTGCCTTGTTGTCTATTTCTCTGCGTAAGACCACCGTCAGACCAGCATGCCAGCAGCTGACCTGTTGGTGCCAGTATGGCTACAAAGCCCAAAGCCAGGAGAACACCGGGAGGACCGGCTGACTCTTGCTGGGCTGGGCTGAATAGACTTGAATTGTCACGTTGTCCCGGGTGGGTGCCGGTGTGCCACTCTCTACTCTCCTTTAGGCAGAGGACACGGACATCGTAGCATGCATGAGAGGTTGATCTGAGGGGGAGATGCCGGGTTTCGGCTGCTAGGACCTCTCCAGTGTCGGCCGGGTCGGCACATCTATCTAGCTAGCTTGTACCTTTGGAGTGAGCATGTGCTTGAGCAGCAAGCGATGGCAAGGTAGCCCAGGAGTTATGCGCAGTATGTGCTTGGACCGCTGGATGGAAAGGATGACTTGTGAGATGGTCTTGAGGAGGACTGGTGGATGGGGTGTTGAGAGTAAGGGCCCCGTTGTTAGGGCCAGGGAGTGGGTAGGGGTGGTGGCTATGGTGAGGAGGTTGAGAGGGGGAGCCTGGGCCATGGCCCACAGAGAGAGTGTGGACCCTGAGATGTGAGGATTGGGCTTTGGGCGATTGACTGGCTGACGCTGGAATCGAATCAGAGCGAGAGAGAGGTACGCACTTCTTTGTCTGTAGAGAGAGTGAGTGTGTGTGTGTGTGGTGGGTCCACGATACAAGAGACACACACTCCATACACGACACACGGCACACGCTACACTCATTCCGCCGTATCATCCATCTCCTTTGTCCGACCCCCTTCCTTCCTTCCTCACCATCCACCCTCCGACCTCCACGACTCTCTCAACTCTCCATCTCACCCTCCCTCTCCCTCAATCCTCTCCCTCCTCGCTCGGCTCACGCCCACGCCCATGCCTCCCTACCCTCGATCCCTTTGATTCGACCATTCCATTCGACAGGCTATTACCACTAGCGTCTCACCCACCCACAAGCTTAAACGCACAGTCCTCCTTCCTCCCTCTCCTCTCGGACCCTTGCGCTCGAGCACACTCCTCCTCCTCTTCCTGCTCTGCCCCCGTACCCCCCGACAACCTCTCTCATCGCATACCCCCGCGCCATCACGCCGGCCCTGCACTCGACTCTCTCTGCCACCCTGCAACGACACTGGCCGACCGCACGCCTGCTCACAAGCTACCCAGCTACCACCACGCCTACAGCACGTCTACTACGCCTTACAGCCAACTAGCCGGCCCACACCACGGCTTACGGCTCAGTTGACTTCCGTCGAAATCTGCTCGACCGCGAACTTGCATCGGTGCGCATCTGCTGCTGTCCAAGAGCCTTCGCGACAGCGCACACCTGAGCCACCGCAGCGACAGGTACATCACGCACAGCGCCAGCAGCTCGCCTGAACACGCCGTACACGTTGGACCGCCGACCCTAGCTGTAGCCCTTTCCTGCGCCTGCATCGCCTGTTCGCCGCACGCCCGCACGCCTTACGCGACGACCCGGCACACCAGCCCTTGACCCGACCTGCGAGATACCAAAAGAACGCCAAAAACGCGGGGGCCTCCAATCGACCCCGTACTTTCCTGGCACCGGACAGCGGACCAGCGGCTGGCTTGCCCAAGGCTTAGACCCTCTCTTCACTGTTCTCTTTTGTGGGTGGTGGGTTCCCTTCGAAAGACCCAACTAGCAGTTTGGACACCTGGCCAACTCTAATTCCAGCGCTAGTCCAACGTTGTCACATCGCCTGCGATAATCGCCCGCCAGTCACACACCGGCGCTCCCTCGACTCCATCGCACCGAAGTACCGGACAGCGTGACACATACTCTTTTCTTTACCACCGTCGGTACTGGCGACGACGATTCCAACCGCCCATATTCCTGCAAACCAAGGGATCGGATTCCAATCGGTCGTTCCAGAGGGACTCGGCATCAGGATCAGGGCGACCGCAAGCACGGGTCATCGTCACATTCGACTCGCTCGACGGCTCGCACACGTCCCAAACTTTAGCCTCTCCCCCTCCTCACTCGACCTCCCAAGTCGCTTTTCGCATATCGCACTTTCGCACCCACGACTTGACGTCCCCACCTGTCGCTCGCAACACGGACTCCTCCGACTGCTCAGCAACGCGTCGAGGTGCGCTAGCCCGTGCCAACACAAGAGTCGTCCGCTCGGCCTTGTTTGCCAGCGCTCGCGCCTCCTCAGGCGCGTCTGACCACCCTTCCAATCGCTTGGTTGGGGCCACGACATCTGTTACCTCTACCCCTTCTTCAATTCCCTCCCATCCACCTTCATCGCGCCGCCGTCTCCTTCAGTAACGCAAGCGTGTGAGCCATGTCTGCGGCCGTCATCTCGCCTCAGGCGGCGCTCGAGGCCCTCACCATCAACGATTCGGGGCCCTCAACATCCCTCAACAGCCCGACAAACGGCACCCACAGCCTCGGCGGAAGCTATGTCGACCACCCGAACGACGACCTCGGTCTGCCCGCCGATGCGCACGTCATCCGTGTCCCCGAGGGCGAGCAGTACCGGGTACGCGCGCTGTACGACTTTGAGGCGACCGACGAGTCGGCCCTCAGCTTCAACACGGGCGATGTGATCGAGGTCCTGACCATGCTTCCCAGTGGATGGTGGGACGGCATGCTGGGCAACAACCGGGGCTGGTTCCCGTCCAACTATGTCGAGGACGTGGACGAGACCGACCTCGAGTTTTACGCCGAGCAGCGAAACGGTGCGGCCAACGACGTTCTCCGACCGCATCACAGCCTCTCGAGCGCTGGCTGGGGTGGCGACGCCGACGGAGGCTGGGGCACCGACGGATCCTCTACATCACTAGACGACCTTGCCCTCGAGCTCATGGGCAACTCGGGCACCGTGTCCCGACCACCGCTATCGGCCAGCGTCGGAGCACCCAACGATAACGACCCCGCAAGGCGTCGCACAGACCTCGGCCGGCGCGACACCTCCGACTTTGCTCCGCGCCGCGGCGACGCAGACCCAGACGAGACGCTGCACCCACTAAGCGGTCGAGGGGGTGGCCACATCGATGCGTGGATTCCCTCTCTGACGCCAGACGGAAGGGTAGGTCATTGCTTCTGGGCTCGTAACAATGAGATTGAAAGAAATGTCCGTGCTGACTGGCTTTTCACAGGTGTACTACCACAACACACAGACTGGAGAAGACGCTTGGGAGATTCCAGAAGACGATGACGCGACGTTCGCTTCAACTGGATCAGACCCGAGCTCGAATCTCCCCAAACGACGAGAGAGCCGTCAGGCGCTTCAAAAGGCCCAGATCGATGGGACGGACGACAACCGCCGGTCTCCCTCTCGCCCGATCTCGATGGCGTCGTCGCATGCGTCGCGACCGCCGTCCAGCGCGCTCCTCATGGACGACCAGTTTGGCATCCCGCCGCGAGCAACGAGTCTGCCTCCCCCGTGGGTGGCGAGACTGACGGACGACGGGCGCGGGTGGTACTACTTCAACACTGTGACTGGCGAGCAGCGCCGCGAGCCCCCATCGGCAAGCACACGAGAGGCAGGATCGGAGCCGCTCCACCGCTCGAGCATCGGATCGACGCTTAACGCTCAGCAGGGCGCTCAGCAGCCGCGCCGCGGGACAGAGTGGGAGGAGCGGATCCGTCAATCACTCGCTCCCCTCGTTGTTCCCCCACCGCAGCCTACCATGGCGATCCTGATCGAGGCCGTGTCGGAGGCTCTGCGCGAGGTGTTCGACGCTGCGATCGCCGGCTCGTCGGCAGAGGAAGAGCTGCTGATGACGCGCGAGACGAATGTCGGCTTTGAGCTTGCCAGACGCCACGACCAGGCTTCTGTCGAGCAGGCTGCTTCGGCCCAAAAAGCGGTCATCAGCGCCGTCCGCGATCTCGTCGTGGCATGCGGCTACGTTGGCCCCTCATCCCCAGCAGTCTGGACAGGAGCCGCCGTTCGACGAGATGGTCCGACCAAAGTGGGCCAAGGACATGTCGCTCGTTGGCTCGCTCGGCTTGCTCGCGCTCACGACACACAACGCCATCACTGGCCCGAGGAGCGAGGAGCACGGATCCTCTGCCTGGACCGATGTCTTGCGTGCCGCGACCAAGCTTCGAGTCGTGGTGGAGGCATTCCCGGGCTTGGCGCATCCTGACACGCCCCCGCCCGAGCGCGACGCCCTCGAGGGTGGCCGGCTTGCAGCCTGGTTCGGCGTCGACAACCTGGGCGATTTCATGTCCGGGCGCTTCGGTTTCGGTCACATTGTGGACCCGCATCTGCGCCCGCTCGACCAGGCTGCTGTCGTCGAGGTGCAGAAGATCAAGGCCGAGGTCGAGGCTGCGCTCCGCGCGACTGCGACCGGCCAGGACGACAGCATCCTCGAGATTCTCCGTGCTGTGACGCACTACCGCGATGCCGTCGGCCACATTGACATTGCCGTCACGATCGACCTGGACGGTGACGCTTCCACGCCCAACGGCACGGACGCCGCGAATGCCGACGACCAGAAGGCGTACAACGAGCTCATCAGCAAGGCGCGCCAGACGCTGCGTGACCTCGACGCTGCTTCTCGCTCGCTCGACTCGGTCGCAGCCGATCTCTTCCTCCGAAGCGAAGGCAACGGCACGAGCCAGATCCGAGACACGATCAACTCAAACGTGGCGTCCATCCTGCGATCGCTCCAGGGTCTGCTTCTCATTTCGCAGCAGCAGGCGGCCAGTCTCGAGCACGGCGTCGTCCGCGGCGCCCTCGGCCACCGGTCCCCGACCAAGGTCGGTGCGATTCGCGCGGCTGCCGAGTCGGCTGCAAGCCCGATCAATGCGACCGTCAACCGCGTCTCGACCCCGCCCGACCGCAACCGCACGCAGTCAATCTCGTCCACTGCCTCGAGGCTGTCGCGGCAGTCTATGCCAGGCCACATCCGCGGCCCCTCCACCGCCGACACGCACCGCACGCGGCCGTCAGGATCCGAGCAGGAGCTGCTGGAGCAGGTGCAGCCGAGCCGCAATGCCGACGATAGCAAGCGGCGGTCGATCCTATCCACGATCGGGTCCAAGTCTGGCCACTCGCCGTCCGCGAGCCAGACGAGTCTGTCGACGTCGGCGCGCCGCGAGGCGTCGAGCTCGTCCACGTCGCTGCCGTACCCGCACCCCGAGCTGGATGCGACGAGCATCCGCAGCTCGAACCGCGCGAGTATCCTCAAGGCGGTCCCGAGCTTCCTCCGCAACCGGTCCGGCAGCGAGATCGAGCCCGAGGATGCGGCGCGCGCCAGCAAAAAGTCGAAGAAGCTGTCCAAGATTCTCGGCGAGGAAATCGGCATCCACCGCTCGTCGAGCAGCCAGTCGTCCTCGCGCGCCCCGCTGTCGCCGATAACGACGGCGCCGAGCATTCCGGCCCCGATGCCGCCGCCGGCCGCGGCGCGCGCAGGTCAGGCAGCGTGGTACCTCGAGACAGACTATCCGCCGGGAGAGATTGTGTTCGACGACCGAGGCAATGTCAAGGCGGGCACGATCCGTGCGCTCGTCGAGCGCCTCACGCCGCACACGGCGGCCGACACGGCCTACTTCCAGGCGTTCATGCTGACGTACCGATCGTTCGTCACGACCGACGAGCTCGTCGAGCACCTGATCCGGCGGTACCACGTCGAGCCGCCTGCGGACCTGAACGAGGAGCAGCTCAAGGAGTGGAGGTTGCGCAAGATGACGCCGATCCGGCTGCGTGTCGCCAACACGTTCAAGGCGTGGCTCGACAACCAGTTCATGGAGGACCGGGACGGACACGCGCTCGACGTCGTCGAGGAGTTTGCGCGCACGACGCTCGTCGCGAACGGCAGCGAGCTCATGTCCAAGCAGCTGCTTGCGCTCATTGAGCGAAGACGGCGCGGCGACTCGACGGCCCAGGCGCGCCGTGTCGTCATGGGCGCGGTTCTGCCTTCGCCGGCACCCATCTTCCCGCGTATCCTGGGCGGCAAGCCGCTGTTCGTGCTCGACATTCAGCCCCTCGAGTTAGCGCGTCAGTTAACGATCATGGAGGCCAACTCGTTCCAGCGCATCAAGACGGCCGAGTGCCTGAACAAGGCGTGGCAGTCGACGGACCAGGCGCCCAACATTCACCACGTCACGGACCTGCACAACCGCATATCGTGCTGGTGCGGGTCGCTGATCTTACAGCAGGGCGACCCCAAGAGCCGCGCCAACGTGCTCAAGTACTTTATCAAGGTCGCGACCGAGCTGCGTACGCTGAACAACTTTGCGTCCATGGCGTCCATCATTGCGGGTCTGAACCTGTCCCCGATTTCTCGACTGAAGCAGTCCTGGGCCCAGCTCAGCGAGAAGCTGCTCAAGGAGTGGGGCATGCTCGAGAAGCTCTTCGACAGTACGAAGAACTTTGCCCGCTACAAGGAGCTGCTCAAGATGATCAACCCGCCATGCGTGCCGTTCTTTGCGTTCTACCAGACCTCGCTCGTCTTCATCGAGGACGGCAACAAGGACAATGTGCCGCTGCCCTCGTCGCAGCCCATGTCCCCGACCAGCTCTGGAGGGCACTCGATGCGCGACAGCACGACCTTCAGTGTCCTCAGTGGCGCGACGCCCACGAGCCCCGCAGCGAACAGGGACGGAAGGGACGGAAGGGACGGCGAGCCGCGGCCGATGCTGATCAACTTCTTCAAGCGCCAGCTCACGGCGGATATCCTGAGAGATATCCAGCAGTACCAGAGCCAGCCGTACAACCTCGCTGTGTGCAAGCCCGTGCAGCAGTACATTGAGCAGGGGCTTGCCGAGGTCGAGATCAGCATTGACGTGCTGTACGAGCTGTCGCTCAAGGTGGAGGCGAAGCAGCAGGCCTAAGCGTAGTGGGGCCGACGCAGTCGGCCGAACGCCCCTGTCTCTTCAATCGCCCGCGCCCAGGACCAAGTCGCCATCGTCGACCCCGCCCCGCCCATCGCATCGCTGGGCAACGCACCGTTCTCTGGCCCGCCGAGCAGTCCGCCTCGCCCGCCCAGCGCCTCAGCGCGCAAGCTCGGCTCGCGCCTCGAGTCCTCACTCGGCGCCAAGTTCTCACCTTTGGGATCTATCATTTCTTTTTCTCTCTTCTCTCTCTCTCTCTCTTCTCTCTCGGCCCCGTCACCCATCATCTATATGTACATTCTAGGGATTAATGAAGTACGAAACTTATGCATAAACCAGTGCAAGTCTTGCATGCAAGCGAAGCAGGGAAGCAGCGGGCATGAACAGTGACGTCGACGAGGTTCAGTGGCGAAGGGGGATTGCCCTTTTGCGGAGCGTCATGATCTCAGCGGCTCTGCCTTAGGACTCTGCTCTGCCCACACTAAACTCTGTCCCTGTTCTTCTCGTCTCTTTCTCACCCCGCTCCAAGCCCCCACGATGATGATGACGATCGAGGTGCAGGTATCCCCAGCCCACATCAACACAGTTTTACAGAATGCATACAGCTAATACGTCGACATCCCTTTTACTCTTCTACTTCTTGTAAAACTGGCGCGAGAAGGAAAAGTACAGCCTGAGCACGCCAGAGCCAAACGTGCTCACAAACCCTTTGCGGTGGGAGTACTCCCACGGCCTCTTCACGATGCGGAACGCAATGTCCTCATACGGCGGGCCAGCCTTGAAGATGATGATTTGCGTATCGTTATCGCCCGGGATCTTCTGCACGACATACGTCGGCGTCACGCTCTTGTCAATCAGGTCGGGGTAGAAGATATTGAACTTGTACCCCTGCACAATCTTGGGCGGGGGGTTGTCAAAGTCGTAGTGGCTCTGGTTGTACTGCGTCCACTCGTAGCCCGTGTGAACGCGGTTGAAGTACCGCGGCTTCCGGGGGCGGAACCGGTCGCTCCAGTCGTACTCGGCCTCTTGCAGGCCGGAGGCCAGGTCGCCCTCCTCCATGTCGTGCTCGGATTCTGAGTCGCCCCAGTCCTTGGGCTCGGCACGGATCGCCGCCTTCCAGTGCGCTTCCGTCTCGGCGTCGATGTCGTAGTGCCCCGCAGGCGGGCCCGTGTCCTCGGCCACCTGACCCACGGGCTCCGCACGCGCCACCTTGGGCATGTATGCCTTGTTCGAGATCGTGTGTCGCGCCTCGTACAGCGAGCGCAGCATGTCGGCCTCGTCGACGATGGGGAGGTGGCATAGGTCGGCGTCGCGCACGACTGCGTCCAGGTCCATAGGCACCGGGGACATGTCGCGCTCGTACGGCTCGACGTAGTCCTCCTCGTCGGCTTCGTACGCCTCCTCCACGTCCTCGCCTTCCTCGCCATCGGCCAAGTCAGCCTGGGCACGTGCAGCGTCCTCGCGCTGGCGCTTCTTGAACAGCTCGAGACGGTTGCGCAGTACAATCTCGTGGATGCCCGCGAGACGGTTCTGTGCACGGGCTATGGCGATCTTGTCCAGCACCAGCGCCCAGAACTCCGAGTCGACGGCGCCCCCGCCAGAGAGCAGGTCGCGCGTACGCTGCTCCAGCGCGTCGAGCTTCGAGATCGAGAGGCCCGTCACAATCTGGCTCGCGCTCGCGTCGACTTCGGCGTTGTACTGCGCTCCGCCCACCGCGCGGTCAGGGTCCCGGAGCAGAGCAAGGTGGTGCTGGCACACAACCTGCATCGCCTCCCAAAACTGGATGTTGACGGGGTTCTTCTCCAGCGACAAGTACATCTTGATGTCCTGCTCGAGCTCGACCGTGTCGTCCAAATCGAGATTCTGACGTCAGCTTACCTCCGGAGCCCTAGCTTACCTCGAAAATGAGCCATGGCTCGTCCATCTCGAACTCGAGACCGGCGTCTGCCCATCCCCATCCGTCTTCCTCGTCTTCTCGGGCTGAGGCACCCGCGAGTGCACCGATCGCAGCTGTCTGCTTTCCGAGGCACTTCGCGTCCGCGAACCGGAGGTTGATAGCGAGGAAGTCGATCGCCTTGGCACGGCGTTCACGCAGCCTGATCCCAGCCCTGCGCCGGCTCTGCTCGAGCTGGAAGTCGTCCTCCTTGTCGATCCACTCCATCATTTGGGCATCCTCGGCAAGGCGTCGCTTGCGCGTCTCCTCTTCTTCGCGCAGCTTCATCTCCGTCTCGCGGTCGGCACGCTTCTTGTTCAGCTTCTCCAGCTCCTGCTTCGCCTCTAGCTTGCGCTGCTCCTCGCGCCGCGCAATGTCCCCAGCAGTCAGACCGGCTTTCTTGTCCTTCTCGATCTTCTTGTGCCAGGTAAACTTCTCGGTCAGGTTCGGGTCCTGGAACGGGTTGCTATTCGAGGAGTACATCGTCAACTCGGTGAGCTTGCGTGCATGCTCGGCGTCGGCCTCACGGCGAGAGGCAGCCTTCGCGGCACGCTTCGCTTCCTTCCGCTTTCGCCGCTCGATCGTGGATGGACTTCGGGAGCTGCTTGTCAGCTACACGGAGGGGTAGTCATAGCTGAGAAACTCACTCTCTTCGCCTGTCTCGGTCACGTTCACGGTCTCTCCGCCTCTCTCTGTCTCTGCTTGTCGACCGGTCTCGATCCCTGTCGCGGTCGCGGCGCCGATCTCGATCCCGATCACGCGTGCGCTCTCTCTCGCGGCTCGACGATCGGCTCCTGTCACGTCTCCGTTCCCGGCGCTCATCGTCTCGCTTCCTGTCACTTCGTCGTCGATCCCTGTCACGGTCGTAGTCTCTGTCGCGATCCCGATCGCGGCGCCTGTCGTCTCGATCCCTATCTCTTCGGCGGCGCTCGCGGTCCGAGTCGTAGCGCTGATCGCTGCGCTTGTCGTCGCGCTTCGAGCTCCCTGATGGGCCAGCGGGTACGTCAACGTCGTCGTACCTCACCTTCTCCCTGTTGTCTCGCTCAGGAGACGAGGGCCGGGACATGTTGGGTATGGTGGTGATTGCGGAGGTCTCGAAATCCGGTCGTCATTTACGTCAGTCCTGTGTTCCTCTGGTGGCAACGAATCCATTTCGGGACCAAATTGTTTACACCAGAGGTGGAGGTTGGTCTTCCGTGGTCAACCGTTCACAATATCCACAAGCCCGCGATGGGCAGGGGCAACAACAAGCGCGCATGGCAGGGAGGCGACAAACGAAGATACCATGACGCTGGGGATCAGGAGAAGAACGCAGGCCCGCCGCCAGAAGCTTTCACGAGAGCGTACGAGGCGCAGCTCACCGATGGCGACGACATGGCTAGCGAACTCATCCGCTGGGCTGGCGATGGACCAGAACTGTGGCTTGATCGGTGAGTATCTCCATGCAGCTGCCCAAGGATCGCGTACTGTAGCTGACATCAGCCATGACATTCTTCACATGCTCCCCCAGCTCGACGTGTCTCCTCCGTCACCAACGCGGTCGAACGTGTCTTCCTCGTGGTCTCTCCCGGATGACGCCGAGTCTCTGTTTGACATCTCAGGTGACGAGGCGGAGGAGGAGTACAAGCGCAAGAAACGACAAACCTGGGTTAATGATCTTCGGGAGGCGCGTCTTCGAGAGCGAGAGAGGGAGGACGAGGAGGAGGAGCAGAAGCGGGTAGAGGCGACGAGGCGGGACGAATCAGTGAGTTGAGCGAGCACCTGCAGTTAACTGACCTCAGCCGCCCCCCGACATCCGCAAAATGATGGAGCACACAGCCAAGTCGCTCGCTGGGTCCGCCAACCCGGCCCAGCTCGAAGCTCGCATCACGGCGCGACATGGCAATACGGACCCGAGGTTCGCCTTCCTCCGCCCTGGCGGACCGTTCTCGAGCGTGTGGGAGAAGATCCGCGCCAGAACACTCGGGCTTAATGTTACATCTGCTATTGCTACAGAGAATCCGAAGGGGAAGCCGAAGGTTGGTGGTGGGCTTCTGGCGGGGTACGGCAGCGACTCGGAATCGGACTCAGACTCAGGCCCGCCTCCGCCGCCGCCGGATGAGCCGCCGCCACCACCGCCGGGTAGCCCGCCTCCCCCTCCCCCGGGGAGTCCACCACCACCACCACGGTAGGAGTTATGTACAGATTACTTGGGCATGTATGAGTAGGCTTATCGCTGCGTGCTGGCACCGAAGTTGGTAGTTCCCGTGCCGGGGACAGCGGCTTCGTATGATTCGTTCTGGGCGTCAGTTTCCCGAACCCGTAAGGCCAACTCACAGCCTTGTCGTTCACGATGCCGAGAAAAGAGGACCAAAGCTCGGCGACAGTGTTGAACTCCTTGCCTACGCCGTCGACTTCCTCAAGCTTGCGGTTCAGAGCGTTCGTGTGCGAGAGCACGTCCTCGAAGGCCTGATGTCAGCTCTTGCAAGAACGCGGCAGCTGCGAAGTACATACCGAGTTGATCTCGCCAATGAGACGCTGCTTCTCCATCTCGAAGAACGACTCGGCGGGGTCCTGCTTGTTCATGTTGGTTGTCTGGGCGTAGTTGGTCACGTTCCTCGATTGTTGTTGTTGTTGCCTGGCACACCTGGTCTGGCCAAGCCAAGGGTTCAGTGCGTAATCTTAACAGGGTGGAGTGGATAAGGATTCACGCGCCGGACACGGTGACGTTGGGCCGCGTCCTGATGCCTTCCCGATGACTGTGTCCGGACCGAAAGTTGAGACACGCTCGCTGCTCGTTGACTGATACTTCTGGTCCGGACACCTTCATCTGTTGCTTCTTCCCCATCAGACCGATACGGCACCATGGGCTCCGACACTATCCACCTCGCCAGCACGGCTGCGACGCACCCCACCTTCCACCTCTTCGGCCATGAGATCGGTAAGTGCGCATTGTCCTGACGCGCTTGGCGCACCTTGGCTGCTGCTGATGGACTACTGATGGTTGCTGGATGCACACAACCATCCAGCGACACACAGCTGTTGTTCACTCAGAAGAGCTGACACACAGTCATCGACGTCCCCCTGCCGACGTTCATCCTCGCTCTCGTTGGTGCCGCGGTCCTCGGTCGCTTCGCCTGGTCGTGGATCCGCTTCATCGCCGAGCTCACCGTTGTCCCGGGCATGAGCGTGAGTAACCACTACAGCTGTTTCTCCCGGTGCAGAGCTGACTCCCAGCTTTCCAAGTTCAAGTCTCGCTCGACCAAGACCTACGCCCTTGTGACTGGCTGCACCTCCGGCATCGGCCTCGAGTTCGCGCGCCAGCTCGCCGCCAAGGGCTACGGTCTCATCCTCGTCGGCCGTCGCCAGGGTGCCCTCGACGAGCTTGCCGCCGAGCTCCAAGCCAAGTACAAGGTTCCCTCGAAGACCGTCATTGCCGACGCGGCGGACGCTGCCGGTCTTCACGCTGCCGTTGCCCGTGTCGCTGCTGTCGCGTCTGAGGTCGACCTCGGTGTTCTCGTCAACAACGTTGGCGCGTCGCACGAGATGCCCGTCGCGTTCGCCGAGACTGCCCCCTCGGAGATTGACCAGATTATCCAGACCAACGTCTCGTGGACGCTCCAGCTCACTCGCGCCCTTCTCCCCGGCATGATCCAGCGCTCCGCTAAGGGCGGACCGAAGTCGCTCGTGCTCAACCTCGGCTCCATGTCGGGCCGTATCCCCTCGTCGCTCCTCGCCACTTACTCGGGCACCAAGGCCGGCCTGCAGACGTGGAACACGGCGCTCGCGACCGAGGTCGAGCCCAAGGGCGTCATTGTGCGCATGATCCTCCCCGCCTTCGTCGTCAGCAACATGTCCAAGATCCGCCGCGCCTCGCTCACCGTCCCCACCGCCCGCGACTATGTCAAGTCGACCCTCAGCTCGATCGGCCTCGCCCGCGGAGCCCAGGGACGCCCCTACACCTCGACGCCGTACCCCTCGCACGCTGTTCTCGACTATGTCGTCTCCCTCTTTGGTTACTTCACTGAGAACATTGGCGTCAAGGTCATTGACGGCATGCACAAGAGCATCCGCGCCCGCGCCCTCAGGAAGAAGCAGCGCGAGGCTGGCAAGAAGCAGGAGTAAGCGGCGCCCAGTGACCGGGGGCGGTTGGCCCGGATGCTATGAGTTTGCCTGCAATTGCTGCTGTCAAGCTCTTGCGACAGCAGGACCAACCCGCAGACTCCTTCAGACCGAAGGGCTCACTGCCCGTCGGCCTCCTAAAACTCGACTACCCTACATAGACCCCTTATCCCTCTCCTTAATCAAAACGTAGCCGATGGAAATCCATGTAGATGCATACAGTGAATGGTTGATGTCGTCCTCTGATCCTGAGTGTTGAGCTGCTTCAGATCTTCTCCCCATGCCTATCCACCTTCGGTCCTGCTTCTGCTCATCGAGCGCCTTTCCTTCCTCCCCACCTCTCATCCTGAGACTGCGTCCGTCTCGGCGTTGTACACGGCGAGGAGCGGAATAGACACTGTTCCTAGTGTCCGCGCTGGCCATGACATTGTTTGCGTCCCCGCGGGGCGCGAGCTATGCTTAGGCACTCGGCGGCTCTGGCGTATCCGTCGGCTGTCCCTTCTCCCTCCTCCGGAGCAGGCCCATGATGAGACTCATGCCCTCGCGTGCGCGATCCGTGTTGCCCGGGAGCTTGTTTGCCCCGTAGCTCTCGATCTTGTCGCGGATCAACTTGCCCCAGCTACCGCCGAACTGCGAGCGAACTTCGGCTGTGGTGTGGTGAAGTGTGGTTCTGCATGTTAGCTTTCCACCGAAACCTTCCAGCTATGCACGAAGACCTGGTTCGCCAGCGTCAGGAAGGACAGAGGAAGACAAAGCGACCCGCCTCCCTCGACGCTCTATCCTTTCCTCCATCACTTGTTGAGGTGGGGAAGCGAGGCTCCAGTTAGGGACGAATGGGAAAAAGCCGTACTGTGACTCACCCTTCTCGGCCACTACACAGCTCCGCGCCCTCGACGACGTGCATAAACTTCTTGTGGCTCAGATTCCCTTGCGTGCTCTTCAGCCTCGGCTGGGAGAGGTAGCTCTCCTCGTCCTCCTCCTTCATCTTGCCCTTGCTCTTCTCTCTCCGCCGCCTCGCCTCCTCCCTCTTCGCAGCGACCTCCTCGGGCGTTCCGTCGAAACCCCATCCTGGAGGGTCGACCACAGACTCCTCGAGCACCCAGGCGTCGAGACCCCTTCCTCCAGAGCCGGAGGGAAGGGGAAGCCACTTGCTCGCCCATGCTGGGACGAGACCGCGCTTCAGGATCAGGCGAAGGGTGCGGATCTGTCCCGTGTGCGGGTCAATTGTGCGCGAGAGGACGTCGACACAGAGCACATGTCGCGCGAAGGGGTTTGGATACCGGAGGAAGAACGCCAGGAGCGGTGTTGGCGGGTACTCGTCGCTGTAGTGTTAGCTCGACAACGCTCGGTCAGCTTCATGTCCTGCAGGCCACTGCATCGCTGCCTACGTCTAATGCTCGTTGAGGCTCGCGATGGAGTATGCGTGACGGTGCGTCTTGCTGGCACAAACATCACACGAGGAAGGTCTCGTGACCTGTCCTCTAGACGACACGGGAAAACCGCGAGGCCGAGAAGCAAGCAGACGGCGCAGAAGCATGTCGGCCGCAAGCTTAAGTGTACTCACTAGGTATGCGTCTTCTTGTAGAAGTGGACCATCTTGACAGATGTTGTACGGAGGGAAGTGACGTGTGGGAGTCAAGTGATCGGTTGACCTCGCGGAGAAGGGCGGCAACTGCTCGCGTCGGCCACCTGGAAATAAAGTCTCCATCCGCCCAGCCGCGAGCCTCCGCATGCTCACCAGTTACACCAGTGGTGCTCCGAATGCCATGTCCAGGCACCGCGACCAGCCGCCGTTTGCTTCCGCAACACCCATTATCCGTCAGCCAACGGACAGCCACTTCTACGTCATACATCCACACTACAGCGTCGGTGCATGCACACCACCTGTTTGCTAGACTTTCTACGGGTTTGCTACATATGTCATCGCGCTTAGTCCCACTCGTCGTCGCTCGACTCCTCGTCGTCGCTGTCGCCCAAGTCGCCCTTGCGGCGGGCGAGCGCGGCCGCGAGAGACGAGGCAAGGTCGCCGGCTGGATGTCAGTTACACGTCGGACCCAATCTAACTTACGATTGTCGTCGGCCGCGGCAGCCGCAACAGCAGCACCACCTGCGGCACCGGCAGCAGCTCCGGCCGCTCCGCCTGCGAGAGGGCTGACACGCTTTTCGGAGTCGTCCACCTTGCGCAGCTTGTGCACGCCCTGTCCTTGAATCGAGGCGAGGAGCGCCGCACGACCACCTGCAGCCGCTGGAGAAGCGCCAGCAGGGGGCGCGGGAGGGGCAGGGGGCGGGCCCGAGCTCGGAGGCGGGGGCGGAGGCGGAGGAGCACCGTGG